AGAGAGAGAGAGAGACATGTTATACTATAAATAACCATACCATACCCAGAGAGAGAGAGAGAGAGAGACCAACTTGCCAGGTTTCTGCCATGTAAATTACATCATTGCATTTGTTCTCTTTCTCCATTTCTTCCTGGTCAGCAACCACAAGTCTTGTTATTTATAGAACAGAAGGCAATGTATTATCAGTGGCAGAGGGACCACAAGGGATTACATAGTTCTGACATATGGCTAACACCAAAACCTCCAATATGTCACTTTTCTTGATTCATACTTGATTTATTTGGAGGGCAGAATTTAACTATTGTTCAGCCACCTTCTCTCTTCCTTTATTAGACAGCTGCCAGGAGTCAAGACTGATTTGAAGGCACCAACAAACAAACAAATAAAAAAAATCTACTGTTAACCCAGTAAATTTTCCTAAATGGTCACACACTACTTACAGCAGGCATCCCCAATCTCCAGGCTGTGGACCAGTACCGATCCATGGCCTATTAGGAACCGGGCTGTGCATGCACGGAATCTAGGTTGTATGTGAAACCACCACTACTCCTCAATCCATGGAAAAATTGTCTTCCACAAAACCAATCTCATGCCAGAAATGTTGGGAACTGCTGATTTACAGAATTCTAGAGCTTTTCAAGATACTGACAACAAAAGACCTGTCATTAATTGCCTCTAGTTTACTGTCTGCTTTGAACTTGAGGAGGACATTTGCTCACCTTTGAAAAATGACTGCACAAATTCTGAAATGACATCTACAAATTCCATTATGTTTTAGATGTAATTTGTCTTCCCTTTAACTGGGACTTCCTTCTTTCATCATTTGATCTTTTCCCATGTGATTGATACTACTTTCCTTAGGAAGAAGGTTGAGGCAAGGGAATTGGAGCAGATGTGCCTTTTCTCTGTCACTTGACAATGTTTTTCCACCTTATCTTCTTACTGAAACTATCCATAAACATAGACACTTCTAAACTTTCAACTCCCTCTCCTTATTTGCTTTCCTGTTTCTTTGTTCTAAATTCTAAGCACCCCTGGGATTTGTATGCTGCTTACAGAGTCCCTGCAAATTAGTTTAGTCACTCATGTCAAGCTACAGCATATGGCCCTTCTTGGCCACTTCCACTTAAATCCTCCTCTTCTGTTCCCAATTAATATTCTTCATTGCCCAATTTAAATCACAAACTCTCTACGAAATGGTAAAAAATAACAAACTTAGAACTATAGATGCTAATAGATGGATGCAGCATTGAATACAATGATTTTGCAGTAACCCTTTCCTTGCAGTAATCTTGCCTGAGTAATGGTGATTACAATAAATCCTTTTGCACATCTCAGTTATCAAGAAAATCCTCTTGATAGAAATCAAATATATAATGAAGTATCTTCTAATTTGATACGGCCCGATAAAAATCTATCCCATTCAAAGTTTCATTTTTCTCAGCCCAACAGCTATGCAACACCAACTGAGTGATAACACACTTTCGTGCAGGTAAGAGTGACGTAAATCATTATTCATCGTATGAACGTGTTAAGAGAAGCAAGGCAATCCAAGAGGAATGCTAAGTTTATGTTTTGTTTCCAGTACAACCTACTGTAAGGGAAAAGACAAATAAATCAGGTAACGTTTCCTTTTGAGGATGGAAATGTTAATTTGAATAAATTATTACTTTAAACTCCCTTTATTATTATATACATGTGTTTTGTCTTAGCTCTCGCATATGGAAGAAATGCATAAGAAATGCGGTAAGGATGCCTTGTCAGGTCTCTGAGCAACTCTGAATGTCTAACCACCACTGATATCATAATAAACCACAGCATGCAGGACATGGTCTCTGCTCTTATTGCTATGCAATAAAAGTTATTTGAGGCAACACAGCTGATGTTTATGTAGAACTCTGGCATAGATAAAGGAAAATATCAGCAGGAAATTATCTTTTACATCAGCATTTCTTTGCTTATTTTAATAAATAATTTTAGATTCATCACAAACATATTCAAGATGTGTATGCATGTATGCATGTATCTATACACATGTATATATATTTAAAACTGAAGTTGAAATAGGAATTTAAATGCTTAGTTTTTCAAAGAAACTTATCACATTCTCAATGGTAATCTTATTATCCCAATGGATAATTATTATTATCCCCATTATTAGGGATAGTATCCAATTGTAACTTACTTAAGTGTATCATAATGTACAGTATATTTGCAATAGAAAGGGAAATGCTATTACCTTTACAATTAATCCTTTTGAATCAACCATCCAGATCTTTTTTACGGCTTCCTTTTTAGGTGTCCCTTCCTTTTCCATGCCCATAATGAGAAGATTGGCTATGCCCATTGCTGCCTGGTGAGAAAAGGAAGAATTACTATATAGATACTTATGCAAACATATTTATTTTTATATGAAAATATACATCACTCCCCCTTTTTAGGGCTTATGCACCGTTCTGAGTTGTTATATTTTCATTTCTGTGCAAACCACATGCCCATTAGACACAACAATATTCACAGACACTTTGATTTTTAAAAATTTTCACAGTGCATTACCAAAACAAGCTATAGGAATAACCCATCTAGCTGGCAACTTTTACATACAATCTCCATAATAGCCTCCAACTTAGCCTTCTCCCCTTCCCACTTTAGGTTACAGAGATCAACAAAAGATGAATTGCTTAACAAAGCCAGTACTACATCAGCAAGCATCTAATTGTTAAGGTTAGGGCACTTGTATTCTTGTATGGCTTTCAAATCTACCACCTTTTCATTTGGACAACACAAGCTTACAATTTTTTTTAAAATGAAATGTCTTAGTTATTCATTAGAATTGGCTATCATGCCCTTTGAAATGTGATTTGACTGGAAACTTAAGTTGGCCACTTTGATTCTTTGAAGTTCACAGCAGAATGAATATGCTTATTTGCTCACCTTAGAAAAAAAAATGACTTTAGGATAATCAGACTTCGAGTTTTTACTTCAGAATTGAAAGGAATTATTTAAATAACAAGACTAAACAATGCATTATTTCTGAGTTCACATCTGTACCTATTTTTATATGGTCTTGGAACATCTACAAATGCTGACATTACAGGTTTTTTTTTTGTATAACCTCAATAAGAATCTTCTGGCACAAAGTGTTACTGTTATTTTTGTACATTTGATTCATTTTGACTCTGACCGTTTCAAAATATACATAAAACATCTCATGACCCAAGTCTACAAATTATGAAGAAAAAACTCCCTGTTTATTCATTAATCAGACTAAACTTCTACATCTGCATATAAACAATGAGGTTCAAAAAAAGCAAGTTCCATTACCAATGACTTTTTGTATCTATATCCTGCATTTTTATGAGCTTACAGCACTAGACTAGAGGTCACTTTTCATTTGCTTCTCAACAATAGCCCAGAGGAGGAACTTGAGGTAAAAAGCATCTGATAATCTCCATGTTTGAATTGAACCTGGTTCTCCCAGATCCTAGTTTGAAAGCCTAATCACTATGCTACATGGTCTGTTGTTCTCATCCCTTATACAGAGTTTATTTGCAACAGAATAGTCTACCTTATATTGAGGTTTATTTATTTATTTGTATCCCATATTTATTATTTTTACAAATTCTAGGTGGCAAACTTATCCAACACATCTTCCTCCTCCTATTTTCCCCAAAACAACAACCTTGTGAGGGGGGTTGGGTCTAGTGAGAGTGATTGACCCAAAGTCACCCAGTTGGCTTTCATGGCTAAGGTGGGATTTGAACTCATGATCTCCTGCTTTCTAACCCAGTGCTTTAACACCAGACTAAACTGGCTCTCATACATAGCCAATTTTGATTTCCAAAGTAACAAAGGAATCTTTCAGTTACCTCACATAAAAACTCCAAGCCACTCAAACATAAAAGCATAAATATATGCTAGGTTCCATGGCTAGACTGGGATTTTTTTCCCTGTGCACACACTGAAATTTCAGTTTGTTAGTACAAATTCCTCAGGATATAGGGCATAAACTGAAAAGGTTTTTTATTAAAAAAATATATAATGCATTGAGGATCTAATTGTGGTATCAATAATAAATGGCCTACATTGGTATAGTTACAAATGCATTTCAACCATTTCGACTCCATGCCTTGTTGTATATTTTAACATATTTATATATTACATCTTATTTGCATGGAACTCAAATAAGTTTTCTATCTCGATTCTGACTAGTCAGACTACAAAAGTCTACTGAATTCAATCTGGATGAATGGATTTACTAAAAATATATCTGCCCAATCAGCAGTAGGGTATAGGAGACAAAACTAGCAAGTCAGAATCTTACAATGTTACGCCCCACCCATTTTTCATGCCCAGTGACATCAGACAGGGTGGGGTTTGCATTGCAATGCTCTGATCAGCATCTTGTCAATTTGAACCACAACAGCCACACAATTCTAATCCAAGCTCCTGGGGGCCCACTTATTGCTGTCCCTAAGCAGCAGAAGGAGATCAATAAATAAGCGAACAGCCAACCAAATAAATAAATAAATACCTGGCCAAACTAGAAAGATGGCACAGAATATCACTTTTGTCAGAAAAGTGGCACAAAAATTAAAAAAAGAATAGATAAACAAACCTCCCCAGCTCCTTGAAAGAGTATTGTATGATCAGACAGTTTATTTTGAGTAATCTGGAGTGCAGCAAGGAGACCCGCAACAGCTACAGATGCTGTTCCTGAAACAGAATAAAATAATAAACAATTTTATTAAACTGAAATAACAGCACATCTCCGTTGATAACCAATCACGCATCTTTTAGATAAATTTTAAAAACAGAATTTGACATAGGTGGGGGTTTTTTTCTCTTCCATTGTTAAGCTGAAACACACACACACACACACAAGGACTCGTTCCAGGTTTCCTCCCCCCTGCCTTCAAAAAATCTGCAGAAAAGTTACATTGCAGATCTACGTGAAAAAGGATCCTATAGAAGCCAAGGTCTGAAAAGATAATTTAAGCATTGGGGTCCAATCCCCTGTTTAGCACAGGAAATCTAAACCATGTTATGCTTTCTCTTAAAGACTCATTTCAGATCAAGTTCACCTCCATATAAAAATGCTAATGAATACAGCTAGTGGAAAACTATATAGAAAAAATAATTAGGAAATAATTAAGCCCAGAAAACAATAGTAATTCTCCTATGATACAATATCTTATTGTAAAAACAATGGAGGACGCATGTCTGAATTATAAATTAAAATGTGAAGTTATTAGCCCTTTTCAAGTAAGTGTTCATCTTCTCTCCTCACCCTTATTCAATTGTATCAAATGAAAGATGTATTATTATAATACTTCAGTGATAATACATTATCCCTCCCCCCAAGGAACACAATTCATTATACACAGGAATGGTAAATGTGATATTATTTGTCCATAAAAGAAAATATTCTGTTATACAGTGGAGATTTGAAGAATGAAACTGCTGATGACAAGCCAAGGCTATTTAATATTAGAGAATTTCACCAACAGAAGAAAAGGCTGTCATAAAGTGTCCAAACACCATGCACTAAAGATTGCCATTTTACTGCAGAATTTCAGCATTGTGAAGTTGGAAGGGTTTGGGATCTCAAATGAGATTTAGGAGTACAAATTCCTCACGTGTATATATATTTAGGAAATGTTAAGTAATGACGATAAAATGATCGACTGATTATATGCCATCAAATCGGTGTTGATTCTTAGCAACTGCATAGACATATTTATTCCATGACAATCTATCTCTAACCTGGTCTTCAGGTCTGAATCCATTCATCTTGCTGCTGGTCGACATCTTTTTTTTTCTTTTCTTCCCCCTTTCCCAGCATTAGAGACTTTTCCAGAGAGATATTAGATCTTCATACAATAGGTCTGAAGTAGGATAATTTGAGCCTACTTATTTGTGTCTCAAGTGAGAACTCTGGATTGATTAGTTCAATAAACGATTTGTTTTTATTCTTGGCTGTCCATGGTATTCTCAGAAGTCTTCTCCAATACCCATGTTCAAAAGATACTCTTCCTATCCTGCTTCTTCAAAGTCCACTTTTTGCTTTCATGGAATGTAATAGGAAATACCGTTGGTTGCACTAGTTTAACCTTTGTATATAAATGTGTCTAATAATATAGTATTTTATCAAATCATCTTTGGTCTCCCAAAAAATGATCAGAATTGACAGCCAATAATTCTTGCATGCACATATTCAACCACTAAAAGAGGTTTGCTGGAAGTCCACAGATGCCTCCTGACAAATAAGATAGGGAAGCATCTCTAGTCCCCTCTCAGAAGAGCTAAAATGTGACAGTGGGACAGCAAAGATCATCCAGTGTGTCTCTTCAGACCAGCACAGGAAATCCACAAAGGGTTCGTATACTTTACCACTATCATCATCTGGATCTTCAAGCACAGGAAGTCCTTGACTTACAACAGTTCTCTTAGCGACCATTCGAAGTTACAACTGCACTGAGAAAAGTGACTTATGACCATTTTTCACACTTATGAGTCATGACCATTGTAGCAGTCCCCATGGTGACGTGATTTACATTCGGATGCTTGATAACTGACACATTTATGACAATTGCAATGTCCCAGAGTCATGTGATTTCCTTTTGCAACCTTTTAATCAATTAATCAGTGGAACAACCTGCCTCCAGAAGCTGTGAATGCTCCAACACTGGAAGTTTTTAAGAAGAGACTGGACAGCCATCTGTCCGAAATGGTATAAGGTTTCCTGCCTGAGCAGGGGGTTGGACTAGATGACCTCCAAGGTCCCTTCCAACTTTATTATTATTATTATTATTATTATTATTATTATTATTATTATTATTATTACTACTATTACTACTACTACTACTACTACTACTACTACTACTATTATTATTATTATTAACCTTCTGACAAGCAAAGTCAATGGGGAAAACAGATTCACTTAACAATTGTGTTACCAATTTAACAACTACAGTGATTCCCTTAACAAATATGGCAAAAAAAGTCATTACCTTGAATGTCATCATTGAAAGTGCAGTACAAGTTGCGATATTTATTCAGAAGGCGGAATGCATTTTGGTTGGCAAAATCCTCAAACTGAATGAGGCAGTTTCTGCCATACCTAAGGGTACAAAACATTATACACTTAAAATGAAAACAGTAAAATTAAACTACAATGATTAATAACATATGATCGCTCCTCCAATATTTTTTCAATTACATGTCATCATGCTTACTGTAAGTTGTGAGCAAAAGACTAGGGCTAGGCATTAAGCAGATTTAGATGTTTAAATGTTATTTTAAATTTATCTGTTTTCATGCAAAACTGAAGCAGTGATTTATATGGCCTTTTACTAACTAGAAGCTGTCCATACATGGATAATTTTATGGGCATTTACTTCTGTATGTAAAAATAGCAGTCAGTGACAGGCTTCTTGTGCTGAAAGGAATTTCTTTGCTATTTCTTCAAAAGAGGAGTAAAAACAATTCACGCTTTGAATTTCCATAGACCAAGAAAATTATTTCAAAGTAATGGATTGGGACAGATTTTGTTTTATATATTTCATACAAAATGTATCTGTTTTAAAGTGATCGTGAAAACTTCTATATAAAGCTTATAAAAGTCATTGTCGGCATTCTAAGCAACCAAAGATGTTTGCAAAGGGAAGTAAAAAAATATCAACATGATCAAAAGTCTTCCTCTCTCATATATATATGTATCATTTCCAGATAATTTCTCTTTCAGATACTATTAGAACTAAGACAGCTAAGAAAAGGTCTGTTGATTATTATTACTACAGCAGGATTATTTCTATCAACTTTATGAAATATATTTTTGGGCAAACTAGTAACTTAACACTTGTACAGATTAACCTAGAGCAGTGATGGTGAACCTTTTAGAGACCGAGTGCCAAAACTTCAACACAAAACCCACTTATGTATTGCCGGGTGCCGGGTGGGCGTGACCACCGGGTGGGCGTGGCTACAGTGGGCGTGGCAGATGGGTGGGCGTGGCCAGCTCGATGTTGCTCCCTCCCGGGGAGGGACACCTGTGGGGGCCGGGCAGGATTGGGGGAGATCCAGGGGTCTCGGGGGGGGGTGGGGCAGTGGGCAGGAAGCTGGTTCTGCAGGGTGAGGCAGGGCGGGTGCCATGTCGCAGGGCAAGGCGAGGCAGGGGCTGGGGCGGCTGCTGCCTGACACCATCAGCCCCCGCACACAAAGGCCAGCAAGCGCATGGGTGCTGGGATGCATCCGGCCACGTGGAACCTCAGCAAGTTAGCGGGCGGCTGGTTGAAGAGGACGGTTGCCATCTCCGGGGCATGGCATGCATGCCCACAAAGAGGGCTCCGAGTGCCGCCTCTGGCACACGTGCCATAGGTTCGCCACCACTGACCTAGAGCGTAGGTTAAATAAAATAGCAGAAAATATACAAAAGAGTACATTCAAGATGTCAAGATCCAAAGAAAACCTATTTTGCTTCAGCCATAGTTGTCTTTGTCTTGCCAACAGTAGCGGGGGGAGGTGATGTTTAGAGTACTTGGAGCACCTGTGAACCAGCCAGCTTGGGAACCAAGGTCATCGGAGGAACCATTGGCTGCGAACCAAGATAGTTCTGGGGCAGTTCCATTTCAGCAGAACCGCTATTTTTTTGTTGCCCAGGCCCAGAATGGACTTATGGAAGCGGCATCCACACAGAGAACCGGTTGGTCACATATTTGAATCCCACCACTGGACAGTTCTCATAACAAATGTCTGAAATATAATTGGGGAATGTGACTTGTATTGTCAGGGGAAAGGGGAGTTTCCACTCTTTTAATTTACTGTCCTGGCGCCTTTTTCGCCAGAGCTGTTTTTTCCTTTCATCAGTGCCGATATGCTGTATTCAATAAAGTTTTGCATTAGAAATTGGACTGTCTCAGCTGTGCTCACTTTATTAGGATCATCAGTTGGAACCTTGTCACAAGGTTTGTTTCAGTAAATGGCTAAAAGTTAGGATTTTCAATAAAATCATCATAAGGTGTACTACAACTTAATCAAATGTTCATAAAATTTCATACAGCATTTATGAGATCATTTTAACGGTATAAAGCAAAATATCCTAATTTATTTTTCAGATTTATTTAATGAAATGTAACTACCAAATAATGATGTTAACAGAAAACTTTGCTGTTGAACTTTTATAGCACAAACCTGAGAGTTTTCAAACCAAAATAGTAAAAGCATTTCAGAATATGAAATATGCTCTTTCATTGTACTGTTATTTGAGATTGTTAAGGATGGAAAAACTTCCATAACTCAATTAAAATGCCTTTTAATAGAATGCTGTGAAATAATTGTGAATTATTTTTTTAACTAAAGATCTAGATAAACACTGAATTCAGAGTTATTAGATAAAAACTAAATTAAAAATGTTGATAGCAATTCTGCAAGGAATCTGATTCCATTTTGAAATTTATCCTTATGTAAGTAATTCCACTTAGATTAAATGGATTTTGTTCACCCGTGCATGTAAGCATACATGCATCAAATTATGACTTATTTGCTGGTATTGTATTCAGAAATCCCATGGGCAAATATGTAGGGACCAATGCCATAAATGGTGACCAATGTGATCAAACCTGAATGCTTGTTTGAAGAAACACAAAGTTTATCAGATCAATATTTTTCTTTAAGCTCTCATGGAGAAATTCATCTGTGATTCTATGTGAAGCCTCAAAAACAAACAAACAAAACATAGCTTGAAGGAAACTTAATGTATTTATTCCCTAATACACAGGAGTAACTTTAGGCCAGTTCATTTCAACAATTTAATGAAGATACTGTGATTATCACATTTCACTAAACCTCGTAGCTTGTGGAATTGAAAAGATTATTCCTCTCTTTATGTTTTTACCGACTGTTACTAAACAGTCATTCCATCTGATGCTCAAAAGCTTTCACTTCAGCAGCAAGCCCTTCCGGTCATTTGATCCTGTTAAGTAGAGTTCAGGTTCCTGTTTTGCCATCATCGTTCTACCTTTCCCTTTGACTCTGTCTGAAATTTACTCAAATTGAGCATTTGAAACCTGGGGACAGTCTAGGAAATTTTGTTACAGACTAGCCAGATGACTCAGAAAACATCTGGATTCCCTGATCTTCACTGCTTCTTACTCATAATGACTGTGGCCCACTTTCCCATCTGGTCTTGTGGTTGCTTCCTTCCTTCGGCTCCAGTGAGAATCCCACGTATCCAACTTATGCTTTCATATAAAAAAAAAAAGTCAACCAAGTTTGAATGGGATGTTGTTATGGTGGCCATGCCTAATTTCTAAATTCCCAATATCTCAGTAATACAACTCCATTTAATATCTCCATGTTTGATGTCTCACTTTCTTTAGGGCAGGGGTGTCATTCATCTACTTCTTTTGTTCTTTAGATTCTAGAGTAGACTTTCATTGTATTGACCACCTCTATTCTTTATTAGGAAAAAAAATACCAACAGACCTCTGATCTATCAAGCTCGGATTGGCAGCGATGTTCTGAAATTTCATTCAGTGATTCAGGCAAGATTTCACATGTGCAACACTGTGTATGATCCTTTAACAGGAAACACGTTTGGAACAGGAAACTTTTATTCTCAACAAGACTTTTCCAGAGCACCTACACAGCAGAAAGCAGTAGGTGGAAAAAAGCTCCATTGGGAAACGTTAGCAAAACTGTTCACACTTCTTTGCATCAAGACAAAATTACATCCCACACAGTTATGAGGGTAGGCAGTTTAAAATTAAGATTAGGGACTTTAAATGCAATACACTATGTGGTTTGAATAATAATGCATCTGTTGCATAGGATTAAAAAGCTCTGAAAGGGAATGTTTTATATTTTTTGCTTAGGAAACTTAATATCTACTGCACAACAGCAGCCAGCACATAATGGCCAAGTGTTGCGATCCATATGTGTGAGAAAAGGATGTGGATGTTCATTTCAACAGTCCCAGTTTGCAGGAAGCTCAATATATAGTGACAGTTTTGATTTAGTTACGACTGCATACTGCAAATTGTATTTAATGATGTTTGTTTTGCCACCTACACTATGAGGCCCAGTTACTGGCCTAATTTTGAACCATCATTTCATTAATCTACCATAATCTTATCAATCCTTTTTATACTATATTAATTATTATTCCATTCTTTTTATCCCATTTTGACTATGATACTGAAAGCAGAGAGAACAATTTTAACTTAAGGACAAGATTGAAATAAGCAACATATATTCTTTAGAGTTAACATGATTTTCAGAAAATATATTTGGGATTTCCAGGCCAGAAACTCCTACACTTAGTTTATCATCTTTTGAACAAAGGAAGCATTTAATAATAATAACAGCAACAACAACAGCAACAACAACAACTGCTTCCATCCTGCGATGATATCTGTAATACCATCAAATATCCACATCTGCCTATCCCAGGTCCTTGATAAGGACTCGATAGGTAGACAAAAATGCCAAATCCAGTCTGAACATCTGGCTGACTGGGCGATGATTAATAATAATAATAATAATAATAGTAGTAGTAGTAATAGTAATAGTAGTAGTAGTAGTAGTAGTAGTAGTAGTAATAATAATAATAATAATAATAATAATAATAATAATAATAATAATAATAATAATAATAATAATAATAATAATAATAATAATAATAATAATAATAATAAAAAAAAAAAAAAAAAAAAAAAAAAAAAAAAAAAAAAAAAAAAAAAAAAAAAAGTTGGAAGGGACCTTGGAGGTTTATCTAGTCCAACCCCCTGCTCAGGCAGGAAACCTTATACCATTTCAGACAAATGGCTGCCCAGTCTCTTCTTAAAAATGTCCAGTGTTGGAGCATTCACTGTTTCTGGAGGCAGGTATTAATTTTTGGTCTATAAGTACATTAGTAAAAACAGTAGCATTTATTTCTGAGAATACATACATTGCCTGAACCTGTCTTTGAACACCGCAGAAGGGTCATTTTCCTACATTCCCTCTGCAGCGTCAGTGGAAATTAAATATGATAGACACATTTGCTGACCAGAATTCTCAAAATAACACTTCTGTGTTTTTACGGTATTCCTACAATCATTTTGAAAACATGCCGTTTTAAAC